GAAATGATTTTGCCTGACCCATCATCGGTTCGGGAAGAACCTCGATTTCAAGCTGTTAGTGTTGATGTTCGAGCACCTAGGAAGGTTCTTAGCTCATAGGTTGAGTAGCTCGAAGCCTTGTGATTTGGAGCTGACATGGTCGAAGCTCGTTTGCATGTTGAGGGAAGCCTGTTTTAACCGGTTCTTTTCGAAGTATATTCGAAGTAATGGCCTGCGATTTTGTTAGCGATAGTCGGGCGTCCTCGAGTTGCGTTAATTTGGCTAGAGCAGCCGTTTTGATCGTAGTCATATGTGTTTGGCCGAAGCCATTTTTGATCCCGAGTGATAGTTTAGGCGTCTACACTGAGGGTATGCCCTTTTGGGATTCTTACAAATGCGACGTATAACCTAAACTTCAGGATTGAGTTTTATGCCTGTAGTAAGGTTTTACAAAATTTTCATGCATGTTGAGGTCTTACAGTTTGTCATGCCTGTTAAGGTCTTACAGTTTGTCATACCTATTAAGATCTTACAATTTTTGTTGCTATGTAGAATAGTTCTGGTTATACCGAGTCTGTCCGCTCAGGGTCTTACGACCTCGGGTTTTCCAGTGTATGTCGATTGGTACAGTCTCCGAGTCATCGAGTTTGCTTAGGCTCGAAGGCCGTTATTTGTGAGCTCAGAGTTACCTTGTTGGGGCTTTATGAGCCCGGAGTTCCGACCCTGGGGTCGTGCGGGTGCCAAATAGTTGATGCTAAGTCTCCGAGTATTTCAGGACGCATTTGGTGGAGGGATCCCTGCGAGAGTATGCTGAAATTTCCCCTTGTATGAGATGCTGAAAGATATTTTTTCATTGTTTGGCATAAATACATATCGTTTCATTATTGTGAGCTCGGCCCGCACGGGCGCGACTCCTTGGACCGTTTGGTATGGTACACGATTCCCTACTGAAACTCAGTCTACCGTTCCCCGACCCTTCCAAGTAGACGACGCCTTCGAAAGGGGGGGGGGTCCTTCATCATTTGATTACATAAGAAGGCATGTGATCTTGTCGGATCCTCCTTAGGGGGTACGTTGCTCCACTAAGAACCATGCTGGCGAGACCCTCTTTGGGGCGAAAGTCTGGTCGAGGGGAAAGAGCGCGGTAAGTTCCGTTAAGGCCTTGGGGTCTCTGGGTAGAGTTAGAACTTCCGAACGCCCTGGCCAGGTGTCTGCATATAGGTTAGTGAAAAATAACAAAGGGGGGAGGTAGTTTTTCTTTACCGCGGGATGTGTAGGCGACGTTCGGGGGTTTGGTATGTTCTTGCTGTTTCGGGGCATGGACTCTAGCACGGCCCTCCGTTGTGCTTAATCGGGCTTAGCCGAAGATGTGGTTTACTTACCCTTTGACTCTTTCAAGAGTGGATATATTGGTGCCAGCGATGCGTTATGTGATGCAGAATTTCCCCTTGTCACATATTGCTTCCTGCCGACAATTTTAATTCTGTACCTTGCATGGAATTTCATCCTTTTGGTGAAGTGGGGGCAACCCTGTATTCGGGCGATGTGCCCGCGGTCGTCTGAATAAGGCATCTGTGCCTTGTGCCTCCCTTGATGATACGGGACTCGACGTTCCGGTCTGGGCCAATTATGTTGTACTGAGAGAATGGTCTTTCTCATTGTCATAGCGATCGCCATTCGGAATTTGTCAAAAATTCAAGAGGTGGTTGTGTTTTGACCCCGACGGTCTGAGCCGCCCCATCATCCTTAGCCCGACAGTGCTGATTGAGCTACCTTCACTCATGTGCACATGTTTTATTTAAAACGGATTTAGTGAGGAAGAAGGTTACCAGTATGTCATTGTGAGGTCGAGACGAGGCCTCGATATCCTCTTTGTTGAATGTATGGGCGTCCTTGAGGGTATATCCCCAGATCTTCCTTTCTCCGGTGACGAGAAATTTTGCTCTCCCTTTTACAAGTTCTTGGAAAGGGTCGTCGATCCTCCATTGTCGTGGCAATGCGCTGCGGCCCGTTTGCTTTGTTCCTCCTGGCCGCCTGCCATACTGGGACTGAACTTGAATTCGATCGTTCGTCAGTTCTCGGCGGTGATTTTTGTTGAGCGGCTTGGCGTTTTTCCTTCGGAGTTGGTGGCTATCTCCGGCCCCGTGGCCGCACTTGGTATGTAGTTCCCGCACCAGGTTGTGATCCCTTTGAGAGGAATTCGACCGAATTGGTCCGAGCCATTGGACGTCCCTGGTTTCGCCTACGGCGAACACGATGTTTGGTACAGCGATGTGAAAATTGTACTCTGATGGGCAAGGCGCCCATGTCGGCCATGCGACCTCGTTGAATTTGGCTTTGTTAATTATTCCTCGAGGATATTGTCCTCGGGCCATTCTCCGATCGTTGCGAGGTAGATTGCATCTCGGGGCGTTCCTCCTGTCTGCGGCGCACAGGTGGTACCTCCCTCTGTTTGGCATTGGTTTCTTTGCCAGGAGCCTGTTTGGGTAAGCTGAGCCCGAGGAGGCTCCCGGATGGTCATCCACGACCCTGATATGCGACTGATGCCGAGTACGGGCATCCGACCAGGTCTTGGCTGGGTACCTGATCAAGTTTCATTTGAACTGCCTCGAAATCGTCGGGCCTGGTTTGTTTAGGCTTTGAGTGAAGGCCTGTATTGCCCAGTTATTCGAGATCGGGGGCAATCTCGTTCGTTCCATCAAGGAATGAGGTGCGAATTCCCGTGGTATTTCATTCCCCCTTTGTTCGGCCCTGGATGTGTCCGGCTCCCTCATCGTTGCTTCGATGGCATCGGCGTATGTCTTTATGGAGGAGCCTGTCGGTATGGTAGGCGAGTTTATGGGGTCGGGCGCTAGGTTATGATGGTTCATTTTGAGAGTGTTTCCCGAACCTCTTCAACAAGACGGGCTTGATCTCATCATCTTTTGCATCATTGCCTTTTCTCGCGCACGTATAGGCGGTGATGTGTTCGTTGGGATCTGAGGTCCCGTTGTACTTAGGGAGTTCTAGCGTTCTGGACTTCTTTGAAATGGGTTCTGGGGCCGCTTCCTCGGGGAACAGCCGTTGCACGAATTTTCACGAACCTGATTCAATCCTTTCAGAGAGATCCCCAAGCATCTTTGCTATGGCAAGGTCGGCTACCGATCCGTTATTGCTTGATCCCTCAGGTACTTGCTCGGGGGGGGGGGGGGNGCTTGCAACATTTCAAAAATAACATGAAGACTAACTTCCTATGCTTCCCGAGCTGGAGTCTTTTGGGCTTCCTGTTGGTCGCCATGTTGTATGCTTTCGTCGGTGCGCGAGGATTCGTCGGCCCTCTGCGCGTCTTGCGAAACCGCATCCGCTGGAATCGGTCCAGGTGCGTTATCAGGATTCTGCGGTGACGTGCCAACGACTGGAACATCCATACCATTTTCTCCGTGATTTTCGAGGTAGCCTTTCTTAACCCCGTTTGCCGAGCCAGACATTTCGACCTGAAATCAAGAGATCTTGGACAAGAAAAAGCATGAAAGATAACTTGCATTTGTGTAATGAAACCAACAAGAAAATAATCACTATTATTTTTAGCCCCACGGGGGGCGCCAAACTATTTACCGTGAAAATGGTAACAACAATTAAATTTGTAAATAGGACTCTAAAAATACGTGCCTATTTTTATGCTAGTTGTTAGAGCAGTAGATGCTAAGGGTATGAGGTTTAACGAAGAAATACGGGCTAAAGCAGGGCACTAATCAAGCCGAGAAGCTTGCAGCCCGAGCCTCGGACTGGTCGATGAAGGACTTCGAGGTCGATATCTGGCTCGAGCTCTAGCTATCGGGGGTAGTCGGGAATGGGATAACAGTTAAGGTATGATCAAACAAGGCTCTTTACGGCCAATACCAAGCAATAAATGAAGAACAAATATGAAAGCAATAACGCTAAGAGTAGTCTCGAGCTAGTAAGGACGAATAAGTTAGAGAGAAGAGAGAGAGATATTATTGATCTTGTGGAGAAATAGATGGAGCAACATCAGCCCTTTACAAAGTAGTGTGGGTTCCCTTTATATAGGAGGGGAACCCGGATATAGTACAACATGCATTAGTTACAAAGTATGGAGATGAGACGGCTAGATGTGACGCTTCGGCATAGGCCATGGATAGGCCGGCCCTGTCAGACTTAGTCGTGTGCCTTGGGAACTTCCCCTTCTGCTCTAGCCTCGACCTTCGTCTTCTTTGAGTCGGGCCTCGACAAGCCCCGAGGGAGGGGACTCGACCGCGGCTCCACGTCCTCGGGGCCTCGAGGTATTCTTCCGAAGTGGCTTGATAGCGAGAAATTAAGTCCTCTGATTTTGCCGCATACATTAAGGTATTTTCTTTCAAAGTTGTTCATGTTTTTTTTTCCCTTGTAGGAAAGAGATCCCTTTCCCTCGCTTTAAAAAATGATGAATATGAAGTCCGGAAGGCTACATGTACTATAGATCCTCTGACACCCAATCGGGTTGCCTTCCCAGGTCTCGCCAGTGGCAATGCGAACGCTTGTGAGTGCATTAAGTAAAAAGTGCGAGAACATGATATTTTATGAATGATGCCATGTTTTGTCAAAGAGTGGTAATAGAGGGCGAAATTTGCCACTTTAGTCTGTTTGCATGACTTTAATAGTGGTGTTAAATTGTCTTTCATGTTTCAACTAAAGCCTTGAATTGAAGAAGTGTAGGCAAGACAACATATTTTTAAAACAAAGGATATACCCTATTGAAAGTAGTGTAATCATCCACACAAAGACTAACAATATAGCAACGACCATCTGCGGACAAAAATAGGAATGGACCAAAAACATCAGCACATACAACTTGTAAAATGGAAGAGCATTTATTTGGACTAAGAGGAAGAGACAATTTATGAGACAGGCCAAGCTGACAAGCGGTACATATATCTTTAAAATCAAGTCTTAACCCTTTATAAATATAGACATTTGGTAAGGTCTTAAAAGCCTTACCAGAGCAATTCATAGTAGAATTCTGTGCATGTTAGGCGTTTTGATAAGGTCTTAAATCTTAGCCAGAGCCATTTATAGAATAATTCTATGCATGTTGTTTCACATATATTGATTCTTAAATTCTTTCTCATATTCTCGTTACAATCAACCTAAAAGGATCATATTGGCCGTAATAGTTGGAGCAAGGAAAACTAAATTCTATTTCTAGAACTCCTAGACAACATAGGAGGTTTACATGTGTTTCCATGTATTACATGCAATATTGTCAGAGCTATAGAATATTCCAATGGCTCAGCATATACTTAAACAGCTCCATTCACCATGGAAACCTACAGAGAGGTTTCATGAGTTCTCAGTTTGTTTATTTCCACAAACAGGGCACGTATAGAAGATAGTCTGGCCTTCATCAGCAGATCTAATCTGTTCAAAGAAGCAAGTGGTGTTAGGATAACATGAAAAGCTTAGCAGCAAAAGGCAAAGTCTGAGAAGAATATGGACAAACGCAAAGCAAGAGTACCTGTCTGGCTACATATGACATGCCTAAATGCTGACAAGTTTTACATTTTGCATTGTAGTCCTGTAAACCATACGAACAGCAATTAACAGAAAGAACGTGTAAACATAAAGAATGTTATGGGACACTGCAGACTGCACTAACCATTTGCTTTAGCTCCTTCTCTTCTTCAAGATCATCAAATGAAGATATGCCCAATTCCCTTCTAATAGCCTACAGAAAAATCTATTATATGCTCAGTAAACACATGTCAGCACAAAAATGACGAAGAACATACACGAGCTTCCTGCCACCCAGAATATTTTGCTCTATGTATTTTACATTTCTTCTCTTCCACCTAATGTTTCCCGTCCTCCATTTCACCATTTTTTGTTCTTCCACATCAGATATAAAGTTTATTCTTCATCTAGGCAATGATAAAGGAAGTTGCATTGCATTATGGAGGCTACTGGGAGAATGCCCGTAACTTCCTTGACTGAGCATAATATTATTCTCTTTCTTTATTTTATTCAATATTTTAAACCATTTAAAGACAAAGCAAACCGTAGAGCTTCTTTGAGTGAGAAAAATATATCCAGAGGTGATGCCATATGTAAAGTATCTCTGTAACAGTTAGGGATGCAAACACACAAGCATGTTGGATTTCTTCTAATTCGTTTTTTGTCAAGTAAATTATCGTACTCCGCATAATCACCCCTTCCCTGCACTCCACCAACTGAAATAGGCTACAAATACCTTCAATATAGTTCTCGCTACAGCAGGGTGAACTAACACAATCCTCACTCCGACCGCTTAAAAGTCCAGAATTTCTATGAAATGATAAACCATCCTACATATAACAATCACACCTCAATCCCAAACTAGTTGGAGTCAGCTATATGAATCCTCAATATCCATTCTGCTCCCACATATGATACCATTAGGAAAATATGCAATACACTCTCCTGACCTGCTGGCAGTTTTTCAGCGTTTCGAACTCTGAAATCTCCTCTTACAATTAAAGGCTTCCCATCATTTTCAGGGAATTCAATACCGTTCTACATGTCAAAATGCCAAGAAATAAGAATACGCTACATAGCTTATCATTCACTACTAGAAAGTAGAAACCGGTAATGCACAACATATTAAATGATCCATTCCTCAAAGTGGAGTAGCATATTTTTATGTAGCAAGTGTCCAGAATTATTTCTATTTCAAAAATTCAAAATGAGTTTCATGAGTTAAAAGTCAACATCTTAAACTAACACTGAGTAAATGACCATTCTAGCGAAAGAATTATACTGGCCACAGTACCAAACACTGAAAACATGAAACTCAACCAACTCTCAGCAATCCAAGGAACCCACAGAAACCCAGAAAATTAAATATTGAAGTTTAGAACTACAACTAGAATATAGATGGAAATTTGGAAGAAAAAGATATGGATGACCATTCCCTTATGCATCATGTGGACCATCTGGCTGGAAAGGAACAAAAGATGCTTTGAAGATCAGAGGACCCAGAATCCTACACTAAAAAATAGTTGCTTGCAGAATTTATATTTTTGGTGTAAGGAAAGGGTAGCAGAAGACTTGGTGCAGTTATTAGATTATATGGAATTGCAGAAGCTCTATCTGTAATTGCTATCCTCTGAAGTTTGCTTGTACTTTAAAAGTACCCCCTTGGTACTTTTTTGAAGTTTCTTAACAAAAGTTAATTTACCTGATGAAAAAAAAAACTAGAATATAGATGGAAATAGAAAATTAAAACAACTTGAATCCAAATGGGAGTTCCCTCATAATTTCGAACCAGCTTTTTCCAATCTATCGGAAACCTTTGAGTACCAAAAAAAACAGTACAAGTTTAAGCAACGATAATTGAAGGAAATAGTATGGGAAATAACAGTTATTAGAGAAAACATGATGAGATGGGAGGCAAGTTTTGGGTACCAACATATTAAAAATGTTCAAGTGACACGAATAGAAGGGAAGAACAAGGGAAACAAGAACATTTTAGTGAAAACTATGAAATAGGAGATGGAAAGACGAGCAGATGCCTTCTTAAACAACAGAAATTCAAGCTCAGGCGAGTGCGTTGATTTAGTTTTTTATTCCTCATTTCTTTTTACTTCTAGATTATTTTCTTATGTATTTGGCTTAAAACCTTCCGTAGATTTTTAAGACAAGGCACATAATTATGTTATTTTATTAACATTAAGACAAAAAAAAATCTCAATCACTTGACACTCGGTGAATAGAGGCTAATGACTACTCAAAAAAGTAATTCAGATGTGTAATTTATTACTAGCAAGTAACACTTTTAAGGCAGTTTTCCATATCCTCAAACAAATGAACACCATTCTTGTCAAGATCATAACTTCAACTGTTGTTGGTGGAAAGTGGAGATGGTCAGACAAATTCCTTCGTTATACTCCTTCACATAAACATTTCCTAATCTTTAAATACCAGAATATCATTAGATTAAAAACTTTTTGCACAGCTTCTTTAGCGGCTTATGTAATTACAACTAGCTTTCTCGCTCTCACCTCAATACATGTATGATGTATCAGTGATGCCTACAATTCTAAATAAAGCATACCTCAGCAGAAATGGTATAGCGTATCTCGTTTCCAGCAATCTCTAAAAAAATTTAACAAGAGAAAAGTGTTGTCAATAATAGAATATTTAATTCCGGTGCAAAGAAGCAGAAAACATACAATGACAATCCCAACAAATTCGTCAACCTGAAGTGGAAATTAAGAGCTATATCCTTCAAAGAAATATCCAGATGATTCGTTATCACTATGAAAACATTATTCAACCTATTGTGCCTTTCTAGAAGTCCACATATTGTCTCTATCCATTATTTGCTTCTCTTTCTTTCTTTTTTGGGTATCCCATCCAACAAACTTGAGTCCACCCTTGCCAGTCATTATAAAAAGAAGCTATTAACAATTTCCCCGGTTTGATATACACTGCTTCTTTTCCTCAGGGTGAAGGACATTAAAATTGAATGTTAACAATGACTAACCGTTCAATTCAGCGCAACTAAACAAATAAAAAGCGGGCAAAAGGGTAAAGACTTGAAGGCATATGCTCTATATGCTAGTTCAATCCATTAGTTTAACATTTTTCGCAAATTTCCCTAGTTTGCTCCAGAATTGCTTCCCAGTCCAAAAAACAGTATGAAACTTTCGACAGGTGAAATTACACAGACAAGTGAAGTTGAAGATACAGCGAAAGACTAAAAAAAAATTAAAGGGTTGGAAAAGGCGAAACCTTTGACTCGTTTCTTGAATTTGCATAAGGGACAGCGAGCATACTTGGGGGAATCAAACGTAAGCATTGTTCCACACATTTCACAGAACATGAAATCCCGTTGTCGGAAGTATGCCATCTCTATATATTTTGCGGCAAATCGAATGGTAAAGAATAGAGAACAAACTGTAAACCTATTTGCTTTTCTTCAGACTGTAGAGCGATTATTATTACACACGAAGTTCAGAGGCGATTATTATAAACCGTTAGAACTCAGGGTTTAGGGTTTTAGTTGAACAAAGAGCTGTGAACCGGACTATGAGAGTCGGAATAAAGTATAGCCTTAACTAGCATTGTGAAAAAGGTCTAATTTACCCTTAACTTATTTAATAGTTCACATTTGCTCCTATAACTTTGCAACAACAACAACAACGACCCAGTATAATCCCACAAGTGGGGTCTGGGGAGGGTAATATGTACGCAGACCTTACCCCTACCCCGAAGGGTAGAGAGGCTGTTTCCAGGAGACCCTCAACTCAAAAAAAGCAACAGGAGCCGATATATTAGTACCATAAAAATGCATAATAAAATAACAGCAATATAAGAGATATGAAATACAGCATACGAAATACGAAATAGATGGCTGGTATAGTAAAACTAGCAGGTAAAGCCCTGCATCAATAGACGGCCAATGACATTCTTAGTCTAACTCCTAACTGGCTAGTCTCACTCTATTGTGCTGTAGAAATATTCACAACTTTCCCTAACCTACAACCTTAATGCTCGACCTCCATAATTCCCTGTCAAGGGCCATGTCCTCAGTAATCCTAAGTCGTGCCATGTCCTGTCTAATCACCTCTCCCCAATACTTCTTAGGTCGCCCTCTACCTCTCCGCGTGCCCACTACAGCCAGTCGCTCACACCTCCTCACCGGTGCATCAGTGCTCCTCCTCTGAATGTGCCTGAACCATCTGAGTCTTACTTCCCGCATCTTGTCCTCCATGGGGGCCACACCCACCTTCTCTCGAATATCTTCATTCCTAATCTTGTATTGAACTTTGCAAATTAGTTCAAATTTGCTTTCCGATATTAATTGGGGGTGTAAATTTGAAACAAATTGGATATTACACAACCAACTGATTATATTAACTCACTAAATCGAATTACAATAACCAAATATTAATAGAACAGTAGAAAACAACAACCCTAAAGGAAACAGAGAGCAGATGGGAAGAGAAATTGCAACCTAAAGCTAAGAAGAAAGGGGAAGATATACAAAGTCAGAAGAGGAGATGAGAGAACAGACTTGAGCGCAAGCTTCAACATAATTCGCATGCCCTGCATTCCCTTTGGATCCCAAATATAATGTCCTATCATTTTATTCGGTTGTTTAGTCATTGGGCATCTTCTCAATTCAGCCCAAGCCCAATACTCCTAACTGGATCAGATTTGTTGCACACTTATGGCCCATAATCCCATACTGAGTCACGTGGGTTCACAATAATACCTCCCTCCTCAAAAAAAACCTTGCCCTCAAGGTTCGAGTAAAGCAGAAAATGGAACAATATCCGCTTGACCTTGTCAACAACAAACAGTAAATGCAAAGCAACAGTAGGATAGTTGGTTTTCTTTTCCCATAGTTTCGCCTGACATCTAGGTAGCAGAAGCATAACAGTACAACAATTAGGATCACGATCTAGCCGCAATAAGATCAATCTAGCTAAGTGTGAAGTTGCACTATGTATTTTGTCTTGGAGTAAAAACAATGTTATCCAATCAAAGGATCCCTCAAACTTCAAAATAATAGCCTGCATGAGTTGCTGGACTTCAGCTTCTGAAAGTTTTGAAGCAAGCCGAGCCAATCCAGATTTTATTCTTTCATACATGATAGTTCCACTATTGTTTGTATCCATGCTCGCGAACACATATTTTAGATACTTGATTTCTTCTTCTGAAAAATCTGTTGCAGTGACCTTTATTGTTGGTTTCATGAGATTGCATATTACCCTGAACTACTTTAGTTTGGACAAAACTACATGGTCTATTGGCTCGTCTGATACTTCCTCCCATTGAAGCCACGGTTGTTCAATAACTTTTGCTGAAGTACTTCTCTGTTTCATTTCATCTGATAGCATTGTTAGAACTAGGTCTGTTGCATTATTTGTTATGGATGTCCATGGACTAAGGAGAAAGGCATTTACTCCACAGATGAAGATATGAAATCCAAAATTAGTTGCTTGCATTGCATAATCATCCTTGCTAACCAGCAGGGAACTCTCTAGCTTAGCTCCTTATGCATAACAACCATGAAATGGCCATTGTGGACTATATTTGGAAGCTCTCTAAAACTATCATCGGGATTTTTCTCTAACAAACATCCTCGGGTGATGGTTGCATCAAACAACTTCCCTCCAACACACAGTACCATCAGAAGGTGCATATAACACTTGTCCTTATAAAATGATGTAGGTAAAGTAGTCGAGCGATTCAGTACTATGCAACTCAGAAATAAACACTGAAAATTCTATCGTAATGACTGCTTAATGATTAACACAAACTCTTCCAACCAATCTGGGTTTGCAGACTCAACCAACAAGATACCATCAGGAACATATGTCTCAATATCAGGGACCTCATTAGCCAATATGGACTTTTTATCACGTGGAAGGATATACACACGACTAAGAAAAAGAATCACCCATGACTCCTTATGTGAAATTGAACTTAGCAGGAGACTATTTACAACCCTTCGAGGAATGTTGTCAAATACTAAGACTACACTGGTTCGTGATTTTTCCTCTTCTGCAGTAGTAGTTCCGCTTTGGGTTTCCACATTCCAATTGAAACAAAAGGAAACCACTAAGGAATTAAAATTACCAAGTGAACTTTATAACAACTCAGTAGCTATCTCGAAATTGCCCACAAAGCTAAATACACCAGAACGTAGTGTAATGGGTAAGTACCGTGATTTATCCAAATGTGAATTCAAGTGCTCAAATAAAATGCGTGGAGGAACAAACTCACCGGGATCAAATGGAAGGTATACAGATATATGCTCATGAATCAATCTGATTCCATTCAAAATCAAGAGGACATTCCTATCCCCGAGTGATTCGACCACTTCATTGTCAACCAAAGGTTGAGCCGCATGGAACAAAAAATTATCAAACGCCCGACTCACATCAGTTCTAGAGTGCTTGTCATCTTCATATGTAACTATGCTACCTTCTCCATTGCCAATGATAAAAGGAAGTCTATAGGCAGGGATAATGAGATGGGTATTTCCAGTTGGGAGTATTGGGTCTGGAGTTGAATTGAGAAGAGGCCCAATGACTAAACAACCGAATAGAATGCTAAGACATTATATTTAGGATACGGGGGGAATAGAGGGCATGCAAATTATGTTGAAGCTTGCGCTCAAGTCTGTTCTCTCATCTCCTCTTCTAACTCTGTATCTCTTCCCCTTTCTTCTTAGCTTTAGGTTGCAATTTCTCTTCTCATCTACTCTCTGTTTCCTTTAGTGTTGTTGTTTTCTACTATTCTATTAATATTTGGTTATTGTAATTATGTTTAGGGAGTAATATAGTCAATTGGTTTGGGAGTGATATCCAGCTTGTTACATTGGTATTTTTGTGAACCCGCGTGACTCAGTATGGGATTATGGGCAAGAAGTGCACAACAAATCTAATCCAGTTGGGAGTATTGGGCTTGGAGCTGAATTGAGAAGAGGCCCAATGACTAAAAAACCGAATAGAATACTAGGACATTATATTTGGGATCCGGGGGGAATACAGGGCATGCGAATTATGTTGAAGATTGCGCTCAGGTCTATTCTCTCATCTCATCTTCTAACTCCAGCTCTTTGCTGAGAACAGGACAAATAATCCCAAAATCATCTGCCATAGGTGAAAACTCTTGAAAAATTTGCCCAGCTCCTTGAGAAAAATTATCAAACACCTCGCCTTCGCGTGTTGCTGAGGATCCCTTAATTGGATCGATACTTGTCGAAACTATATCTTCATAAACATGTGTAGATTGTATAAGAGAAGCACTAACCTCATCTCTGTGAGAGCTTTCATCAAACACCTGGATATCCTCTGAGTTTCCGTTATTTGAATCAGATTCCATTGCATCAGTAAGGACGTTAACATCTGATCTCTCTGTAGTAAACAACTTGGAATAACAACAGCCATGTGATATATTGTCGAACGCCTTGGCTTCAATTTTTGTAGAATATTCCTTAATTGTAGCCATGTGACTTTCCGACAATGTGAGATGTTGTTTACGAAAATGAATTCGCACCTTTGCAACAAAGTGTTCCCAATCCGTCAATTGCTTGTTCCGGAGAAGCCATAGGAACCACTCCAACGCCTCATCGTCTAGGTAAATAGATGCACGTAATAATTTGTTGTTTTCCGATATGTCATAGAATTCAAAGTAACGTTCAGCATAAGAAATCCATAACTCTGGATCCTCACAACTGAATCATGGGAATTCCACCTTAGTAGACTTACTCGTTGTAAGGTTTTCAATCAACTCATGTAACAATGAACGAATTTCAGCGATATCCTTTGACCAGGAATCCTTCACGCCCTTAATTAAATCATCCATAGTTCGAAATATTTGGCCCTCCATTGAAGACCTCTCAATGAAAGCACCAATGAAACAAATTAGATATTACACCCAAACCAACTGATTATATTAACTCACTAAATAGAATTACAATAAACAAATATTAATAGAACAGTAGAAAACAACAACACTAAAGGAAACAGAGAGTAGATGAGAAGAGAAATTGCAACCTAAAGCTAAGAAGAAAGGGGAAGAGATACAGAGTCAAAAGAGGAGATGAGAGAACAGACTTGAGGGCAAGCTTCAACATAATTCACATACCCTGTATTCCCCCCGGATCCCAAATATAATGTCCCAGCATTCTATTCGGTTGTTTAGTCATTGGGCCTCTTCTCAATTCAGCTACATGCCCAATACTCCCAACTGGATCAGATTTGTTGCACACATCTGGCCCATAATCCCATACTGAGTCACGCGGGTTCACAACAAAATTTCGATTTAACTGATAAATTGAACCGAAAAAGTATTATTGATTTACTAGTATCAGGTTATCGATTTAATGCTTTGTATATGATTTTGTATTTTATGTTACTAGTTTCTGTGCGTTGCACGTTAATATTAGCACATAATGATTCATTCAATTATTTATGTGAAGTAATACTAAATTTTATTAGTGAGATAATTATATATGTTTGGGAAGAAAAGATTATTTTAAAGAAAATGACATTAACAACAAC